ATGTTTTTTTTTCTTTCTACGAATAACTATAAACACGATTTTGTAATCATCGGTCATGTTCGAGCCACTGCCGGCTGAAGGCCAACAATGTCAGATGTGTCCGGGAATACAAACTCGGATCAAACGGTTCACAATGGAGTGCACTCACCGTTGCACCACTGCTATCGATACATTGCATGTAACGCTCCAATTTTGCCAAAACGTTTCACTTCGGGCCTCTATGAATTTAATGATAAAACTGAAACGGATTGAATATTTTATTGATGTATTCTTACTGATGTGGGGGGAGGGGGTGGTGGGATTGGTGAATTCCCAGGTGCAGCTTCTGGTTGTGGTAGCGATGAGCGAACGAACATTCTGTCCCCTCTCTTCACTACGGACTCGGCAGCGCGCACGCAACGCAGATGTTCAATCGGTCGCTGTGCTCACTCTTGCCGGATGGGCGAAACCTTTGAGCGACGCCGTCCCTTTTGAAATGGAGACCTCGCGCCCGCACAAAGGAGGGGACATTAATACGGGCGTTTGTTTCAAAATGGCTCGTGGCAGACGGGTGGGTGTCGGCGCTGACGGTTAATGTCGTTTGTCAACTTGTCATTGTTTTGCGGAGTAAACGCTCGCTGTGGGTTCATGTGGCCCCAAGATCCTCTGGTGGCCCCCCGCTACCGATCTTGGGTCGGTGCTCGCACGAGCAAAGCCGGGAGCGTCTGCACACGGACACTCGGTCCGAGATCTTGATCATGCCGCAGTGCGATGATTCGCAGCGCTGCCGTTGATACAATGGGGCGAGCTTCTAAAATCCTCAAACACGGCACTTTCTGTCCACCCAGCAGTACAAATGGGCAAATCGATCGGCAGGTCACGTGTGGCGGGGTCAAGTGTGAGTACTGTCACCTCTTCCAAGATGTCCTGCCAGCGTGGACTAGTAGGTCAAATACCGATTAGAGGGGGGCTCCCTTGAGCTTCCTTTGGTAAGAGGCCCTTCCACCAGCAGCTGCATGAGCAAGCAATTGCAGGGCTACACCTCTACCTTTTTTTGTTTCTATCTCCTGCACTGGTCTGACCTCATCACGACAGTCGGAGGGACCGCCTCGACCCCCATCACAATCCAGTTGACCCCATCTCTGCGGGGGTCAATCCCGTAACTGGATAAGTGGGCAGGGTCGGGCACTTTGGGGTCTACAGCTTGGGAGTTTAGGGGTGACAATCTATATCTGCCAGCGGCACGTGGAGGGCACGTGGAGCATCGCTGCGGCGGGTGCAGAGCGCAGAGCGTCGCGGTTCTTCTCCAGGTGACGTTCGTGCCGGGACAGTGGGCCTGGTTTGCGCCGACAAAGCCCCACGTGAGCTGGCGCCGGCTGGCCGGGGTGTTGGGTGGTGGGTGGGGGGGTGGGCGAATGTGGTGGTGGTAGTCCTCACGGCTGTTTTCGTCCGAAGCGACCCCAATCGGTTCGTGCCGAGACGTCGCGCGGGTCGTCAACGGGAGGGAGTCCAGCCTGGACTGGATTTGCCCTCTGTCGTGGGGAGACGGTGGCGCTGCCAATCTGTAGCCCATGAGCAACCAAGAGGGTTTTGTCGGTGCCCTCTGGGATGGCATTTCCACTGCTATGCACCAGGGGCCTTGGGCAGAAATCTTACCGTACATATTGTCTGTTTTGATAGACACACTTGCTGTTTATTTCTCCATCAAAAACTTAATTTTCTGTCAACAGTGTACTCCTGTACCCTTTTTTAACGACATCTTGCTCATGAAAAGCGACCGCAGCAACCTTGCTGTCTTACAAAATAGTATTCTAGAGGTAAACTCTTTCAAACACAAATAATTGTGACCATTTGCCAGCCCGTGCGGCACTGGTAAATCAATTGTTGGAGCAACCTGAGTGATTGGGCCGTGGCTCTGAGAAGTTGTTCAGCGGAAGCCAATGTGGTTGTGACATCGAATTCACATCCCAGCAGCCGTCATCGTGGGCACCATCTGTTCCCGACGCTTAGTGGAGAGTCCCCTGTTGATTTCCCCACGCTTGTTGAGGACTCTTGTCTGCCCCTCGCTCACCGTTTCATCTTACCCACTGCCGCGTTTAACCCCCACCACACCGCCGCCCGCAGCGCTCCTCGTGCTGTTTCTCTCCTCGCGCCACTTCCGCTGTCAAATTCCCTCCCATGGCCTCCTTCGCCATAGTTTGTGTGCACAATAACCTTACTTAGTCGCTCGAAAAGAGATGTATTAACTATACTCTTTGGTTCTTTCGGTAAAGTCACGTAGTTAGAAAAATAAAATAAAAACATATCACGACGTTTCGATCGCAACACAAGCGAGCGATCGTCCTCAGGCGGCAAAAATAATCCAGCAGTCGAACTGCTGAACCAGGAAGAACCTGATATATTATTTTTTATTTTAAATTTCTACTTACGTGACTTTACCGAAAGAAGCAAAAGAGTATGGATTCCTGCAGTCACGAAAGCTTCAAATCAAGGTTAGACGTATTAACTCTTCATCAATCACAACTTCAGTAAAAGTGCAGGTTTTTTTTGCTGGCTATTTGGCCTTTTTTTGGGCCTTTGGGCTGGGTGCTTGGCAACCACGAATTCAAATGATCGTTCTGGTGTTGAAGAAGCTACGGCGACTAATATGCGAAATGTAATTACAAAATACGACGTGCATTTTTTTATTATTAAAATTGGAAAGTAATTCTCTTTGGGGTTTATGTGCACTGCTTTACCATGCACTTAATTTTTGGCTGATAAAAGGAAGAAGATTTATATATTTGTTTTACTTAAGGGGGGTCTAAGATCCTCACAGCTGAAATAATCCCATTGAAGAAAAGTGTGGGCAGTGTGGTCGGTGTGGGGGGAGGGGGGATAAATTAAGAATCTTGAAATCGGTGCGTGATTGGAATATTTTTTATCGTTGACGCCCTTCGTGTGTTGAACGTGGCCCTGTCGTTACGGAGGGATAGCGCCGTCCCAGCCTTCGTGCTTTCTTGTTGCTGCTTAAACGGGGGGGGGGGGGGGGGGGGTGGCGAACACGAATTGAATGTCGATTTAAAGCTTTCGTGACTGCAGGGATTCATCTTCTTGGTTCTTTCGGTAAAGTCACGTAGAACGGAAGTAATAAAATAATAAAAATAAAACATAATTAAATAATTCTCACGACGTTTCGGCCACAACGCAAGCTGCCGTCATCAGGTGAAGACCAGGTCTGTCGGGGAGACAGCGTCAGACGGCTGCTTACGTTGTGGCCGAAACGTCGTGAGAATTATTTTATGATGTTTTATTTTTATTATTTTATTACTTCCCTTTTACGTGACTTTACCGAAAGAACCAAGAAGACGAATTGAATGATTTTTGGATGGGGAAATTCCCTTCGGCTCGTTGGCACGCAGCGAACGCACGTGGGATTGTGCGCCAGACTGGGTGCTACTGGGACGGATTTGACGACCTCTTCCGCTGCGCTTCGACGCGCGTTTCACGTGTCAGCTCCTCGCAATGGTTGCGGGTTCGTTTTTTGTCCTCGCACCAAAAGACTTCAGTCTGAAACTACTGAGTTGAGAACCATTATCCGGACGTGCTAATGGTTGAAAAAAGGACCTCCCCCCCCCCCCCCATGATAGATACAGAAATGTGACCGTGATGCATTCGAGGCTACGGTCATTATTTAGAGCCAATTCAAGTGTTGGTTGGGTCTTGCGTCTTATGCAGAGGGATGTGGTTCCGTTCCAAGTTAAGTTTGGTTGCGTGTGTGTGTGCGTATGTGAGTGCGGAGCGGTAGTGCGGTGGTTAGCGCACGTGGGGAGCGAGAGTGTAGTGGTTAGCACGCTGCGCTGTGGACCCAGCGACCCAAGTTCGATTCCCGCTCACAGCCAGCACCAGTGACGATTATTTACACCGGTCCTGGGCCTCGCCTAGGTCGACTCGGCCTCAAATGAGTACCTCCTGTGGTTTATAAACATCGCTGCTCGGGAGTCAAATGCGGCCAGGCATGGTGTTGCCAACTCCACCCTCTTGTGTACCGTTCCGGCCTTCATAGGTGCTCGCAAACAGTACTTGCCCCAACAGTCTGTTAAGGCTATACGGGGGATATTGGTCTTTGTAAGCGAGTGGGGAGTGAAGGCGCAGTGGTTCATGTGCTGGGCTACGAATCTGGCAGCTTTAGTTCGATTCCCGACCGTGGCTAGCTTCAGTGGCTTCAGAACCTGCACTGGGAATATCGCATGTGTCCACTCGCCCATCAAAGAGTACCAGCTATAGTGCGTACACGTCAGCATTGGAGGGTCAGAGGTGGTGTCCGGGCGTGGTACTGACCTTATCATTCCCTTGTGCCGTGCGCTGACATTAATTAGTTATTTTGTGCACAGCACTTGCCTGAACATTCTGCGTGTAGCGTATAAGGGGGGGGGGGGATCTTTGTCTTTGTGAGGGTGTGCATGATAGTTGGGAATGTGCGGCACTGGCTTACGGATGAGACGTACACTTCTCTCATTTCTCCACGTGTTTGTCTTTGCTGCTCGGTTTTAATTGGAGGCACTTAACCCAAAGCCTATACGGACTATGGAGAGGTCGGAGGGGATTTTAACGTGTGTGTGTGTGTGTGCATGATGGCAGTGGGGAGCGGTGGCGCAATGATTAGCGCACCATGCTACGAACCCGGCGACCCGAGTTCGATTCTCGCTCACGACGGAAAACTGTGACGAATATCTGAATTGATCCTGGGCCTCCCCTAGGTCGATTTGGCCTTAAATGAGTACCTGGTGCACTGTGTAGTAAACATCGCCACTGGAACGACAAAAACGGCCGGGCGTAGTCCTGGCCGCCCCCTCCCCCCCCCCCCTGTGTGCCACGCCGGGCATCATAAGGTGCTGCTCGCTAACAGCACTTACCCTAAAAAGGTCTGTTGAGGCTATACGGGGGATCTTTGCCTCTTGCGTGCGATGGCAGTGGGTGGACGAGGCTTTGACGTTCCCCCCTCTCCCCCCACGTGACGCTCGTGCGCGCGGCTCGCGCAGGTTCGTCGGCGTCAAGTCATGACGACGGAGGACGGGGCTGACTCCGAGCAGCAGAAGAAGCAGCAGCAAGAGGCCAAGCAGCAGGCGCAGCAGCAGCAGCAGGCGGCGGCACAGCAGCAGCAGCAGCAGCCGCTTGTGGAGGACGGGGCGCACGCAGACGCAGACGCAGCCGCAGCCGCCACCACCGCGGTACCGGACGCTGAGGTTTGCCACCCGCGTCCCACTTGCCCCTGCCTCCCGCTGCCCCCACGATGTTGTTTAAATCGATGACGTAAACTCAAAGAACGAACATCTCCTTTTCTTCGTCTGTCGTCGTGATCGTCGTCCCGACCCAGATCGTCGTCAAGTGCGCCGCGCTGGCGAGATGTTGACTACCTCAACTGGTCCACAGGAGGTCGTGGGGTTCGAGCTTGACCCCGACGCCTGCTGTATATTTGGAATTTGCATGTCTCTCTCTCCCCGTGGTCGCCTGGATTTTTTTCCGGGTCCTCCGGTTTTTCCCTCGATATTCATTCAGAATCGTGCATTTAAAGTATTTGGATGCTATAAATTTCCACGTGATAATCCACTTCTTTGAGCTATCACTTGTGGCCAGGTCGCTTCTGAAAAATAGCTGTATAGCTCAGCGAGCGATGTGCAAATTTTACATACATATGGGAGAGAAGAAATCGACAAACAATGCTAACGAGACCGTCGAAATTAAAATGTAAGTTTTTTTAGTTTTTAATTACGCTGTGGCTCTGGAGATACGTGGGGTGGCGAATCATTGCGCGCTCACCAGGACAGTGACGGACTATTTGTCGACAACTCTTTGCTTACGGGCTGCTACAATCTTCTTTATTGCTTTAGCTACGGGGATCGACCGACCACACTCCCGCTATCACGTTGTGCATTGTATCCACCCTCCACGCCTCACCCACTGGTCCCCCTCCGCCCCCCCCCCTCCCCCTAACCCAACCAGGAACTCAAGAAGGGCAAGGCGGCCGAGCACTCGGAAGCCAGGGATAAAAGCGAGCAGCAGTTCCTGTCCGAGGACGAGCAGGCGTCCGAAAAGACGGGCACCCCGAGCAGAACGAGCCGGTCACCCCACAAGGCCCCAAAGCCTAAGGCCATGGCGTTCCGCGTGCTCCTGTTGGATGGCACGGAGTTCGCCAGCGAAGTCGAGGTGAGCGCACCTTCGGGCGGAGGAGAAACGTCGACGATTGACCTGTGACTGCAGGGATTCATCTTCTTGGTTCTTTCGGTAAAGTCACGTGACTTTACCGAAAGAACCAAGAAGATTGACCTGTGCTTTGACCCCCTGGCGCACGCGCGTGTGGGTGTGCTCGCGCCCCGGGGAGCGGTAGTGTAACGGCCAACACCAGTAACGATTATCTGAACCGGTCCTGGGGCCTCCCCTAGGTCGACTCGGCCTCATCGCCACCAGGGAGACAAAGGCGGCCAGGTGTGGTGCTGGCTCACCCGCGCACCCACCCGTGCCGTGCCGGCCTTCACGGGTGTACGTTAACAGCACTTTTTGTTGTTGTTGTCTTTGTGTGTGTGTGTGTGGGTCTGTGCATATGGGCAGGGTCTTTGTCTTTGTGTCACCACCATCTCGTGCGTCATACCAGCGATCATAGGTGCTCGCGAACAGCACTTTCCCCAACCGTCTGTGTAGTCTACATGGGAGATCTTTGCCATCTTGTTTTTGGAGTGGGAGGGATGCAGTAGTGTGGTGGCTTGGGCACTTTGTGTCAAATCCAGCAATCCTGAATTCGATTCCCAGCCTGGGCTATCGGTGATAGTTCTCTGAAGTGGCCTGGGCCTTCCCTAACATCAGCACTGGGGAGACAAAGGCGGCTTGGTGTGGTTCCGGCCACAACACTTCATTGGTGCTTGTTAACAGCACTTGCCCTAACTGCCTTAGGCAGGCCACATGGGGGTGCTGCTAAATCTTTGTCTTTGTGTGTCTCTGTAACGCAGCGATTTGGGGCAGGGGTTTGCGAATTCTCTCGTGGCTTCATGGTCCGCTCGTCTTGGCCTCTGTCTGCGGCACATGGTGGCATTTCAGAATGAATCCCATCGGTTTTACCTGGGCCAACAAGTTTATTTGTCAGCGCTGCTGTCCTATAATTGCTCCGTGTGGTGATGGGGTCCCCCGGTTTTTCCCTCCACGTTTAGAATCAACATCACGCATTTAAGAGTATTTGGCAGCCGTAGATTTCCACACGACGATAAGCCACTTCGTTGAGCTATCATTTGTGAGAGCCAGGTCGCTTCTGAAAAAGAGCTACATAGCTTGGTGTGCCTTACCTGGTAATACAAAATAAAATAAAAAATAAAAATATATTTTATAGTCATTACAAAAATCCAATATTTTTTTGGACTTGTGGTGCAGAGAGGCACGTGAATTCCTTCGCTCCCATCGCGCCCTCCCTCTGCACGTGTGTACGTATCCCGTGGGAGCAGGGTCCGTTTTTAAAAGTAGAATCCAACGGGAAGGATGAATGCACGCACACCCTGCCTCTGGGTAACTGCCCGTGTGAGGGGAAGAATTCGTAATTGTTTGGACAGTTTAATGACGGCTCTTAAAAGTAAACATTGGGCCCTCCTGCCTCGGGCACCCCGGAATCCCCAGATTCGCTTCTCCGTTACGGCGCAACGGAGAATATCAATGCAGTCAGAGCATATTTTGCAGAATGTATGGATTTTGGAGCGGTGGAGTATTTGGTCGCGTGTGAAATTGTAGGTCAAAGAGGACATTGCTTAAAAATAACGGTGCCTTTACAATAACGTCGGTGGAATTTTACTGCTTGTGCATGCTCTTTCCCTGTCAGGACAATAACAAGTCTTGATTGCTCATCAACGCATTATGGAATCCTCAAACCTCTTTGTTTCACATGGTCCGGCTGTTAGGTTGTTTGGACCATCCCTTTTAAGTGTTTTTTTTTTTCATGAGTTGGAGAAAACCACTACGTGATCTAATAATACTTGCACTCTGGATAGGCAGATCCGCTTACCTTCCAGACCCAGAGTCGAATGCAATTGTAAATGTGTTGTTCGCAATTAATTGAAATCACATTGTGACCTGTAATTGCGGCTAATACTGCTTTCCCTGAGTACTACATTCTGTCCTGCCACTCGTTGGCACTTATTTTGCCGTGTAGATCTGTCCGTCTTCTATGTTCATCCGTATGTTGAACTTCTTTCGCACCGTACGGAGCCTACCGTGCTAATTGGAGGTCTTGGTCGCAGCGCGATCCACAAACCCGGCATCCTCGGGCAGCAGGATTGCGGATAACGAGCGCGCAGTGCCCCCGTGTCCAAAGTCAATTGCCCTCTACCAGCACGGAGCGGGCGAAGGTCGCGTTGTACGTGCGTACCTTGAACTTATTTCCCACCGTACGTAGCCAACCGTGCATATCGGAGGTGCGGGGGAAGGACAACAAACTAAACACGAAAAGCAGTTCTAAAGAATTTTCGATTTAAAGCTTTCGTGACTGCAGGGATTCATCTTCTTGGTTCTTTCGGTAAAGTCACGTAGAAGGGAAGTAATAAAATAATAAAAATAAAACATAATAAAATAATTCTCACGACGTTTCGGCCACCGGAAGCCAATGCAGCTCTCTCGACAGATCTGTTCTCCACCTGAGGACGGCTGCTTGCATTGTGGCCGAAACGTCGTGAGAATTATTTTATTATGTTTTATTTTTATTGTTTTATTATTTTCCTTCTAAGTGACTTTACCGAAAGAACCAAGAAGACAGTTCTAAAGAAGTTAGTTTTCAATCTAGATTTAAAAGTGTGTGCCTCCCAGTGGCTTTCTAATATCGGAAGGAAGAGCGTTCCAGACGGCCGCAGAAGCGCATCTGAAAGCGCACACGATGCGATGACGGTTAGCCAAAATCCGCTGCTGCGCGGAGCATGACCGGAGATCACGTGATGGTTTACGTTCCTCGACGAGATCATGAAGGTTCATTTGCGGCAAGCACTTTGTGTGCAATGCAGCTCGTCGAGCACCGGACAGACACAGTCGGATCTTGCGTTTGTGGCGGCTTAGGGCGGCGATGGTGGCCGACGTTTGCCGCTGGTGCTCTCGGGGCAGGCATGGGCCGTGAGACGGATCGCCATTCCCTCCTACGCGCAACGCCGGTGGCTGTGCTATGGCCACGCTCGCGCCGTCGCTTCCTCCTCCTCCTCCCTAATTGTGTTTGTGTGTTATTTTTATCAGATGGAGAAAATTGTTGACATTCATGGGGCCGCATGCGGGAGTTTGCCGGATGGTGACTAATGGCGTAGTTGTCTTTTCGGTGCAATTTAATTTGCTCGAAACGGAAAATAAAGCCATTCGTCTGAAGGGCATTGTCGTAAAAACGTGGCAGCGAGAAAGAAAAATACGGACCTGCCGGCGCCGCAACACCTATTCCTAAACTTTAATGAGCGCCGTTAATCTGACGAACGAACCGAGCATCGAAGTAATTTTAGATTGCGTAATTGTTTTTGTAACTTTGGCCCTTTTTAGCAATTATCGTTTAGGGCTGTTAGTGTTAAGGAGCGAGGGCACGGATGATTTTTAAACATTGCATTTTAATAAGTTGAAGCGGCTGATGGACCCCTTGTTGGCCTTAGCGACATCATCCTTCGTGTGTCTATTTCAAAAAACGCTTTAAACTATTTTGGTTCTTGTTTTTTTCCTCCTTTATTTGAAATATTGTTTCTTGTCAGTCTAACAAAAATGCACAGACGCATCAGAGTACACAAAGCGATACATTATCTAAGTCTAATCACGGTTGTTTTTATCTTTCAATATCGCTATCACTTTCATTTATAGAACGTATACATTCCTGTCATCTGTCACTGTTATCTGCCTCATCTGCTGCATCGCACCGCTACCCAATCATTTATCTCGTCCGTTTCATCTGAAAGCAACGGATTAAACCTCGACGCAATTCCACCGCGCGGAGGAACGCGGCGGTTCACCGAGCGGGGTGGGGGGGGTTCGCTGTGCGAGGAAGAAGCACGCAAAACCACGGGCGACGAGCAGACCGACGCTTTTTTTCACGCCTCCCCCCTTCCCCGTGAGATTTCAGGTCAAACGGTGCGGGCGGTGCGCCCAGTCGGGGAACGTGATGTTCGTTCAAGACCCATGGCAAACGTTGCCTCTCCCAAGGAGCGATGTTTTGCTTGTCCATCTCTCCGCGGCTGTTGCCGACGACTGTTCTGTCGTCCGTGCTGCGTGCAACCGCCAACACTCCGTTCTGCTTCGTTCTCTCACACTGCTCCCCCATCGTCTCTTCTTCACCCAAGCTCCTAAAACCTTGCTCGATTGAAGAAAAGTTGAAACTCTCATCCGTGATTATACGATTGTTAGCGCTGCTGCGCTATGAACCCAATGAACCCCAGCTCGATTCCCTGCCACGGCTAATATCGGCGGTGAGTGATGTCACAACCAGTCTGGCCCCCTCCCCCTGCCTTCACTGACCCACAATGCCCAGCGTGGTGAAGTACGATCAAAATCCCCTGCGACCCACGTCACGTGGGGAGACCTTCATCCACTGGCCGATTGAGAATCGCTGGAATTGATCTATTCGATTGAATCCATGATAATGTTTGACACTGGCTGCTTGACATTTTGAGCCGATTTGGGCCTTTTGGGCCCTGTTGCTCGGCAACTGTGGAACTAAGCGTGCCACGGCGCCCCCCACTTGTTGCTCGAGTGCGCGAGCAGCCTGCCGCGTGACCTCGCGTGCTCACGACGGGATCGGCCGCCCGCTCTCGTCCGTCAAGAGTGCGGGCCGCAGCTGCCGCCGCCGCCACCACCGACCTGGTTTTGCCGAATGGGTTTAACGCTCGCCAGCACGGGCGCTGCACAGGGCTGTCGGCTAAAAACCCGGGGCTATGCGATCCACCAGACCGGGGTGCTTCCCCCCCCCCCCGCCTTCCCTGCTCCACCATCTGCGTCTCAGCAGCACCATGGGTTGGGTTGCAGGTCACATCTGTTTGTCCGGCGCTCGCAGCAGTGGCGCTAAGCACCTCCGATTAGCGCGGTTGGCTACGTTACGGTGCGAAGGAAGTTCCAAACGAGCGGGGGCGCAGACGCCGTAGATGTTGTGGGTGTCCGGTTACCCCCAACGTTTTTACATGTGGCTCCTTAGACTTGTGGTGGTTGTGCTGCTGCTGCTGTTG